CCTTTTAACTATATTTGTAGTGTGAGTAAAAAGACAGTCATATTACTTTAAGTAGCTCAAATTACATGAAATCATAGGCACAGACATCATGGTTTAGCAAATAAAGTGTACAGAAAGTAGTTATGGTGGTGCTCACTGGTTAACTCTTCCAGTGTTGAAAAGGATGGGTGTGTTCCAAATTGCCAAATCAGCAATGGGGCAGGAGTAAATATACCAGGCACTCTTGAAAAGAAATGGTATGATGGATATCACGGTTCCGGAACCAGGCACATGGACAGATCACAAGGAGAGCAATTGCAACACCGGTCTTTAGAGTGGCCGGCCTATGCAAAAAGAGAGAGGTCAGTGTACAAGCCAAAGTCAAATGAGTATAGAGATATGGAACAACGATAGGACAAGCCGAGGTCAAAGATCAGAGAATACAGAGTAAACGAGAGACAGAGTAAACACACTATTGGGCTATCAGAAGACCACAACAGGGCAACAAAGCACAGAGAAGTTAAGTTTAAATATGCATAGACTACTGGTAGGATACTTTTCATTTAGAATTAATTACAACATGTGGAAGGTATTTGACCCTTCCAGTTTGAGACCTGACGTCATCATTATCCGCCATGTCAGGTGGCTGACAAGCGTGCAGCATCAGAAGGAATGCCGATGGGACCCGCGACAACATGAGCAGGTGCAAGCTACTATAATATAAGGTGAGAAAATCTATTACCTATTAGAAGTGGGTGAGGGCCCTAATTATAATATTCAAGCAGAAAACCTAGTGTTTTCCCCCGAGTCCCTAACCAAAAAAAAGGGGGGAAAAGCCATCCAATTCCAACATTACTATTAAAATTAAAAAAACAATCTGATTCCCAAAAATCTGAAAAATAAAAAAACACACTTCAAGGTGAGCAAAGAATGTTTATATCACTAATTGAGGGATGGAGAATGGTATACCCTTCCCCAATTGTATAATTACGCTGGACAAAATTAGAAACGCAACACTTTTTGTTTTTGCCCCCATTTTTAATGAGCTGAACTCAAAGACCTAAGACTTTTTTCTATGTACACAAAAGGCCTATTTCTCTCAAATATTGTTCACAGATCTGTCTAAATCTGTATTAGTGAGCACTTCTCCTTTTCTGAGATAATCCATCCACCTTACAGGTGTGACATACCAAGATGCTGATTAGACAGCATTATTATTGCACAGGTGTGCCTTAGGCTGGCCACAATAAAAGGCCATCCTAAAATGTGTATTGTATTGTGGGGTTCCGGGTGGGGCCAGGTGGCGTCCGAAAACCAATCAGTATCTGGTGTGACCAACATTTGCCTCACGCAGTGCAACACATCTCCTTCTCATAGAGTTGATCAGGTTGTTGATTGTGGCCTGTGGAATGTTGGTCCACTCCTCTTCAATTGCTTTGCGAAGTTGCTGGATATTGGCAGGACCTGGAACACGCTGTTGTATACGCCGATCCAGAGCATCCCAAACATGCTCAATGGGTGACATGCCCGGTGAGTATGCTGGCCATGCAAGAACTGGGATGTTTTAAGCGTCCAGAAATTGTGTACAGATCCTTGCAACATGAGGCCGTGCATTATAATGCTGCAACATGAGGTGATGGTTGTGGATGAATGGCACAACAATGGACCTCAGGATCTTGTCCTGGTATCTCTATGCATTCAAAATGCCATCAATAAAATGCACCTGTGTTTGTTGTCCATAACATACGCCTGCCCATACCATAACCCCACCGCCACCATGGGCCGCTCGATCCACAATGTTGACATCAGCAAACCGCTCACCCACACAATGACATCTGCCCTGTACAGTGAAAAACGTGATTCATCTGTGCAGAGAAAACCTCTCCAAAGTACCAGATGCCATCAAATGTGATCATCTGCCCACTCAAGTCGGTTATGACGACAAACTGCAGTCAGGTCGAGACCCCGATGAGGACGATGAGCATGCAGATGAGCTTCCCTGAGATGGTTTCTGACAGTTTGTGCAGAAATTCTTTGGTTATGCAAACCAATTGTTGCCGAAGCTGTCTGGGTGGCTGGTCTCAGACGATATTGGAAGTGAAGATGCTAAATGTGGAGGTCCTGGGCTGGTGTAGTTACACGTGGTCTGCGGTTGTGAGGCCGGTTGGATGTGCTGCCAAAAAGCTCTGGTGGACATTCCTGCAGTCAGCATGCCAACTGCACGCTCCCTCAAAACGTGCGACATCAGTGGCATTGTGCTGTGTGATAAATATGTACATTTTAGAGTGGTCTTTTATTGTGGCTAGCCTAAGGCACACCTTTGCAATAATCATGCTGTCTAATCAGCATCCTGATATGCCACACCTGTGAGGTGGATGGATTATCTCAGCAAAGGAGAAGTGCTCACCAACACAGATTTAGACAGATTTGTGAAATAGGCCTTTTGTGCACATAGAAAAAGTCTTAGATTTTTTTAGTTCACATATGAAAAATGGGTGCAAAAACAAAAGTGTTGCGTTTATAATTGTATTCAGTGCAATTGTTTCTGTTTCGCTCGGTCAGACCGAATTCTGAACATGTTTGGCTTTAGTAAATATGAGAATTGTCACCGTGGTGACCATTTGTGTGTGTATTCCTTAAAGCTACTTTCCTTAAATTACTTTTACCGTTACTGCCATTTTGAGGTAGAACAAGTGATTTTTGAAATATATATATATATATATATATATATATATATATAAAAAATAGAAATTAATTCCTGCACTCACGCTGAATTTCCCTTCACGACCGGGTGCCAACCATATATAGCCAAAAAATACAAAAAATATAAATTAATGGTTGCACTCACGGTTTTTCCAATTAAAAGTCCAAAGTTTATTGTCAATTCATAAAAACTGCGATCAACGTTTCAGTCCTACCAAGAGGACTTTCATCAGGATGTTTTTTATGATCCTGATGAAAGTCCTCTTGGTAGGACTGAAACGTTGATCGCAGTTTTTATGAATTGACAATAAACTTTGGACTTTTAATTGGAAAAACCGTGAGTGCAACCATTAATTTATATTTTTATATATATATATATATATATATATATATATATATATATATATATATATATATATATATATGTGTGTGTGTGTGTGTATATATTAAATGATGACGGTAAAAATGTCTGTTGTATCTCTACACTTTTATGGGCTGAACATATTCTCTAATGTTAAAGAATTAGTTTGTGGATTTCTAGCAAACATTGACTTAGCTTTCTAAAAAAATTATTCTGTCCCTCGATTTTTCTTAGTAATGAGAAATGAAAATGGGGTAAGTTACTCCACCAGAATGGGCAGTATAGATATATCCCAAACAGACAAAATACCTTTGTCTTGAAATGCAGACTATATCACCATAAGCAATATTTCCTGAGGTTGGGGGCACTCATTGTCATGCAAGAGAACTTTTTTTTTTAGTCCTTTTATTTCATAAAGTTTTACTATGTTCTACTACTATATGTTTATATTTTATTTTGTGTGTGTGTAAATATTTTATATTTTAGTATAGTTTTTTAGGTTTGTGACCACACATACAAACATATGCCCACGCATATATATAATTTTTTTTTTTATCTAAAAAGGTAGAATAATCCCTATATTTTTATTTTTTATATTTCTAAGCTTCTGATTTGTTCCCTCATCCCCTTACTGTTAAATAATTCACATCAATAGTTTGTGACTTCAATCTATTTCTCATATAAGCAGTGCTACTACTTTCACATTATATTCGAAATATCATTTTAGACTTTTCATTTGGAAACAACAGTTGAACACAATGTTATCCCGAGAAGAGACACATAATTCATCTTTATTAAAATGATTGCTATTATTTTATATACCATGTGCTTCCGAATAACTATCAGCACTTTTTACTATGTATTGTCAGTAAGACTTATGTAGCATAAGAAAGCTTTTTTAGTTTTTTTGTTTAGTTGTGCACTTAATCAGCAAAATGAGGGGAAAGGAAATCATGTTGAGCAAACTACAGCAATAAAAGCAAAGATTTTATATTTGCATATATATATAAAAAGGTAATCTATTTCTCATTTGCTTTGCAGGATATCACTGTTTGCTATTTTTTACAACTAAATGTAGCTGGTGCATCTATTGAACAATTATTTAAAACTAACATCAATTCCAAAGCAATCTGCAAGGCTAACCAAAACAGGACAATTTAAATTTATACAAAGAGTAAGAGGCACGTGTAAAACATTTTCAGCACGCTCAGGTCTTATTCCAAGCAAGTGATGAGCTGAGATTTCTGCTTCATTTAATCTAATGTCTGTATGGTTACACTGTAATTACACTGCTCCTTATCATTGCACTTATCCTTCACAGACATTTCAACTGACACTCGGCACAGTAAGCATACGGCTAAAATATATTCATCATTCTCTATAAATTTTGTTTTATTCTGTGAATGTAGTTTCCATATTAATGTGAGCACCTCCTTCAGAATGAACAAATTCTCTCCTTGAATCCGATATAGATTATTTTTTTTATTTTTTTTTGTTTTTTTTTACGTGATATTTTAATTTCATTATGGAGTAACTAACTTGAGAATTTTCAAAAACAATCTTTATAGAATAATAAAGAAGTTTTCAAAACCAATCGTTATAAAATACTAAAGAACTTTTCCCAGTGGTGGTAACAGTGTTAATTAACTTTGTTTTAACATGGTATTACGTGGCAAGTCTTGGTGGACTTTTGTGACTCTCTTCCTTGTCTGATCCACTACTGTCTGTGGAGTCAATGCTCCCTCATACTTAATCCTGAACAAACACAAGGTCATAGCATACAATTGTCAGGATTCATACCGTTTGCCTCTATGCTGGTTGGTGTTTCCTGGGGTCCCACACCTTTTGCATGCCTTGTGCCATCACCTCACTTGTATAATGATGTGGCCCGTGTCCTTTTATGAAGCAAGCATGCAAGCAGTGCTCTCATGGTGCATGCCTCAAAGGTGATGACATAATCGGCATTAAACTACGTGCGCTCATTTGGCGTCAAAACCCATGAAATGGAACAATCATATTGTATAATCTAATCTATATAATCCTTGCCTCTTAATTTTGTCCTTGCTCTGTCGTGATTTCCACATTGGTCATCTGAGAACACATTCTTCTTATACTTCTGGCTTTTTGATTTTGACTTGCCTCTGCTACTCTGTTTTTTGCATCCTTAACTTTAGCTAGTTTACTGATGTTGGGAACCACTGTTGTTCCTGACCTTTGCCTGTTATTCTTATAAATAATTTTTGCTACACACTAATTAAGTATAGTGATGTCGCGAACCCGAAATTTTCGGTTCGCGAACGGCGAACGCGAACTTCCGCAAATGTTCGCGAACCGGCGAACCGCCCGAAACGCCATTGACTTCAATGGGGAGGCGAATTTTAAAACACACAGGGACTCTTTCTGGCCACAATAGGGATGGAAAAGTTGTTTCAAGGGACTAACACCTGGACTGTGGCATGCCGGAGGGGGATCCATGGCAAAACTCCCATGGAAAATTACACAGTTGATACAGAGTCTGGTTTTAATCCATAAAGGGCAGAAATCACCTAACATTCCTAAATCACAATGAATATGGATTGACACCTGACATATGGATTGACACCTGTCCTCAGAGCCCCTGATGCACACGGACACAGAGCAGAATAGAGACTGTTCCCCCTACATAGGGTCACTTGGCAGATATGGATTGACACCTGTCCTCAGAGACCATGATACACACTGACACAGAGCAGAATAGAGACTGTTCCCCTACATGGTCACTTGGCAGATATGGATTGACACCTGTCCTCAGAGACCATGATACACACTGACACAGAGCAGAATAGGGACTGTTCCCCCTACATCGGGTCACTTGGCAGATATGGATTGACACCTTGTTACAAACTTCTATTTGTAACGGGCCCTTTAAATGGCAAATTGCCCTGCTTCCCTGGGTTGTGGAGAAGCCTATTTGCCAGCCTCCTCCCGCATGACTATGGCCCCTGGGAGATTGTGAAAATGTGTGCACTTTTATTTGGTGTGTATGGCCCTTTAAGACTGTCGGTGGGCATATTGGGGCTTATGGACTCTTTATGTGACTGGTGCTGGCCCTTTAAACACCTTTTTTGGGACATCAGGAAGGTGGGACACTGCCCCTTTAAGGCCGTGTCCCCAGACTTGTTGGGGACACGGCCCCTTTAAGACGGTGTCCCCTGTGTCCCCAGACCTGGTGCAAACCCTTTGTGCCTGCCTTGCTATTTCCCACTTGGTTCAGTAAATGGGAAATTATTTCAGCTGCAGAGACTAAGTCCCATTCAGCGATGGGACTTGGTCTTTTTTTCAGCCGTTTTTTTCAGCCTTATTTCAGCTGCAGAGACTAAGTCCCATTCGGCGATGGGACTTAGTCTTTTTTTCAGCCTTATTTCAGCTGCAGAGACTAAGTCCCATTCGCGATGGGACTTAGTCGTTTTTTCAGCCTGAAATAGACCGACCTCACAACCCAAATCTATGGAACTGTTTTGGGCAGGAAAATGTGCTTGCAGTCGGTCATAAAGGGACCTACAGCTAACTTTTTAACCCCTGGCTGGATTTGGCTGATTTTTTGGTTATGTTTATGTTTTAAGTGTGCTGATTCCAAATATGTAATTATGAAGATGGGATGTGTAGTTTTAAAGTTACAGGGTATGGCTAAAAACTGTATTTTTACTGCCTGTGTTTAATTATGTTAATCTCTTCCCAAACGTCATTTAGTTCAAAGTGGAGAGAATGTTAAAAAAATATATTTTTGTTCGGAGTGTGAGAAATGCTTTTCAGCAGCTTCTAATCTTAAGCATCATTTGAGGAGCCATACAGGAGAGAAACCTTATTTGTGGTGTGTTTAGTATTGTTCTGATCAGTTTAATACCTTCCGCGTCTCCTATCGGTGGACGTGTATATGGCAGCCATTTTAGGAACCGTACACCTGGGAAGGTCACCTCGTTCAACAGGCTTGCAGCGTATCATCAAGGAAGAAGAGCCTGAACCTTTACCGGCTGCACGTGTCTTACCTGTACATGGAAAGCTGCTGTGGTTCCTTGATGAGCCAGCTGCCCGTGAGTTAACATGTCCCGTGGAGAAGCACTCTGTCCTGTAAAGCCTCACCAAAAAAAAGGAGTGGTGTGTTTAGTACTATTTTTATCAGTTTAATACCTTCAGCGTCTCCTATCAGTGGACGTGTACACGGCATTGATTTTTGTAACAGGGAGATGGAAGAAGAGGCTTGGTGGGTCCTCTTACTGCAAATTTGGGGCACTGCGCGGTCAAGCTAATGTGACACCAGATAGGAGTGGTGTGTTTAGTACTATTTTTATCAGTTTAATACCTTCCGCGTCTCCTATCAGTGGACGTGTACACGGCATTGATTTTTGTAACAGGGAGATGGAAGAAGAGGCTTGGTCGGTCCTCTTACAGCAAATTTGGGGCACTGCGCGGTCAAGCTAATGTGACACCAGATAGGAGTGGTGTGTTTAGTACTATTTTTATCAGTTTAATACCTTCCGCGTCTCCTATCAGTGGTCGTGTACACGGCAGTAATTTCTGTAACAGGCAGATGGAAGAAGATGCTTGGTTGGTCCTCCTAACTGGAGACTGTGTTGCTGTGCGGGTGGCAGGTGGAGCCATTTATAAAGTACACACTGCTTTATAAAGCCATTTATAAAGTACACACTGGCGGCTTGAACCCAAGTTGGTGGCGGATAAGTCACGCAAGTCAACAGGCATTCAGAGCTAAAATACAGCAGCGTGTGGACCATTTTAGCCCAAGGCAGCTCATC